TTTTAAAATACAGATGAATTGCATAAAACGCGGCTTACAGTCTAGTATATATACCACAACATTAGCATTATAAATTCTTACACCGAATAATTAAGTTGATAAAATCATTCGTTTGCGGCTTAGATATTTTCTTTGACATCATTAGTAGCTTATTAGCTTTTAATTGATGCAAAGTTTTCTTTTCCTACCACTTTACCACAACAAAATTGACAGTATCTAACACATTAGTTTTAAAATATAGTATGAAGTTATTCAAGTTGCTCTAATTTTTATTTTTATTTTGTTGTTGTTTACTTTTTATGTTCAAGTTGCCCTCTTTGATATATAGACCATTATAAAACTCCTTTACGAGTCTCCAACTAAATATATTTGCCTAATTGTCATTCTAAATATATAATTATGAAATAATAATTTAGTTTTATAGGTTAAATTTATGGTGGGATTAATACCTAAAAAAAATTAGTTTTCTTAAATGTTCTAAACTGATGTAAGAGTTGCACGTTAAGATCATTTATAGATGTATTAATTTTAAAATTTGTAAAAATTGATTGGATTAGACACTCTACCCATAAATATATATAAAAAATTAGTAAGACCAAAAAAGTGAAAATAAAAATTTGTTTACATCAAAACTATTTGTAAAGTTATTCAAATAATTTTAATAAAATTTTCTCATATGATAATTTATTAAAAAATTTCATTTTGTTATTATAATTTTTGATACTTTAATTGTCAGCATATAGTAAGATTATGATGCGCTGAAGGTGGACATCGACGGACCATAGCTAGCGTATAAGAAAAACTTCTGATTTGTTAAGTTTCAAACCCACTTCCGCACGCAGGCATTAAAGGACATCTGGACCATATCAAGTCTGAGAATTGAAATGGTCAATATTAGCAAAATTTCGTTTTATTGCATCAGACAAGCATGAGTCACGGGAGGTGGCCAAAGATAAGGTTAAATGGTACTATGGTAGCTGTTATTTCAGGACGAAAAGAAGAGGTGACTAAAAAGCATACACAGAAAAAATCTCATCATTTCGGGATGAAAAAGAGGGGTGACCCAAAAACATAAACAGACAAAATCTCGTCATTTCGAAACGAAAATGAGAGGTGACTCAAAAGCGTACACAGAAAAAAAAATTCTCGTCTTTAATCTTATTGCTTTTTATAGGACTCGCATCGTAACCAAACGACCGAATTAATTTAATTTCTTCGTCAATTTTCAGTTTTTGGCCCACCAATTATTGTTCTAAAACCAAATTTGGACCACCGTGACCAATTCAGTGATTTAACACTTATAATATTATTAAAATGTAAATTCTAAAAATTAAATTTATTTATAAGTAAATATCATTTTATAAGTTCAATTTAAAATTTAAGTTTTAGGGTCTACACTAATGATTAAATTAATCTTAAAGTACATAAAAATTGACTTAAAAATATCTTGTTATAAATACTATAAAAAATTATGAAAATGCCTATATATATAAATATAAATTAAAATCAGAATAAATTTCTATATGTTATTACCAAAAAAACTAAAAAAATAAAAACATATATATTTAGACTATGTATTTTTTCAACTATGTAAGTGATAGTAATGATAATCTTTTTTATGCTAGATGTGAAAGGTTCTTAATTCAAGTTTTATAATAAATGGGTAGATGAGAGGATTGTCTTCCCTGCAGTTCAATCTAAAATTCAAAGAAGAGAAAAAAAGAAGAAGAAGAAGAAGAAGAAGAAGGAACAATGTACTTTATATTAAGTTTTAAAAAAGCAAGAAGAGAGAACTAGAAAAAAGATATTTTATTATTATGTCGAGATACAAAGTTACATGTAACAATCTTTATATAAGCTCTAGGATAGATAATATAAGAAAATATATTGATTATATTGAAATATTTAAATATTATTTATCCTATTAATTCGAAAATAAAATATGTTATTTGATTACATAGCATTAATCAATCATAATATAATTAATTCTTCCAATACCTTAATAACTTTTTTTTTTCAAGTTCAACATAGAATCGTATTAAAAAATTAATTACTAACAAATAACTTGTTTTTGGTAAATCCAAATTTATAAAATCCTTAAGATTGAATTTTTAAAGATTCAGTTATGTGGAGTCAATCAATCATACAATATTACAATTGAATTTTAAATAAAAAGAGTCAATTATATAATAACACGTCATGATTGTATGTTTATAATATTAACACGTCATGATTATATGTTATAATATTATATGACATTGTAAGTTTGTAACTAGATATTTTTTATTTGATATTTGAGGGAATGGTTAAGGTTCTTTATTGAAAAAATTATAGTTTTGAAGCTTAATTGAAAAATTATTGAAAAAGCCTCATAAAATCCATCCGAAGTTAATGGGCTCTCAAATCTGATGGACCCTTTACCAGCCCATCAGAGCCCAACGGTCGTCTGCTAAAATCTCCCAACAAGCCCGCCACATGGGAGGGAAAGAAAATGGCGCGCTCTCACTGGGAGCTTACTCCCTTCCCCTTAATATGAAACCCACCGCTGCTTGTCACCGCCACGTACACGACGTTGCTTACGTCCGACGCGCCGTCTTGATAGCCGACAAATCTGCGGGCTTCACGTCTACACATCCGAACTTCGGGTGCGTAATCGCCACTCCAAGCGGAGATGTCGCCGGTGAGGGTTACCTGTACGCCCAGGGCAGGAAGCTCGCTGAGATCCAAGCGGTGGAGGCCGGAGGCGAGCATTGTAGAGGCGCCAGTGCCTACCTCAATATGGAACCCGGTGACTGCCATAGCGATGACACTGCCGTCTCTGCTCTTGTTCAGGTTTCAATTTCCTTTCTTAAATTTGCGTCTCTAGTAATTTCAAAATAATTTCTTTCTAAAGGAATGAAATGTGTATAGAGTATAGAACTCATTGTCTTATCTGTTCCTCT